CTCCTCTTCCTTCTCCCTTTCCTCTCTTCCTTCTCCAATCACCCTTCTCCTCTTCTTCCTTAATTTCCTCACATCCTTCTCCATTTCTCCTAATCTTCATCTCTCCCATCCTTTCTCTTCTTCCTTCTCCCTTTCCTCTCTTTTGTCTCACCCTCCTCCCCTTCTTCTTCTCCTCTTTCTTCTTCTTCGTCTTTTTTTCTTCTTCTTCTTCTCGTGCTTCTTACTTTCCTTCTACATCCCTTCCTTTTCCTCCCCCTATTGAGTGAGAAAAAGAGGAAGAAATAAATAGAGTGAGAAAGAGAGAAATAGAGAAATTAAGAGAGAGAGAGAGAGAGAGTGAGAGAGAGAGAGAGAGACAGAGACAGAGACAGAGAGAGAGAGAGAGAGAGAGAGACAGAGACAGAGACAGAGAGACAGAGAGGGAGAGACAGAGACAGAGAGAGACAGAGACAGAGAGAGACAGAGACAGAGACAGAGAAAAAAACAGAGAGAGAGAGAGAGAGAAGGGAGAAAGAGAAAGAGACGAAGACGAAGGAGACGAAGACACAGAGAGAGAAAAAAAACAAAATATAATACATGAAAGATAAAATTACCCAGAATGCGGAAGCAATACAAAGCAGAAAAAAATAAAAGGAAGAAAAATCTAATATCAGGAAGTAATGAACAGAAGCATTTTTTTCTACTTTTTGGGGGGAGTATATTTTTATACATTTTTCTTATACGTCTGTTCTCTTTTCGTTTTTTCTCCTCATCTTTTTTATCAATATTATATATATATATTTTATTTTCACTTTTGACATCCCCTTTGGTATCTCTTGTAACGTGATAATCATTTGAAATCACTATTACAACCACTGTCAGCTTGAATTAGTATAAAAACTCACTGTCATCGACATCATGGTCATTTTTATTCACCATGATCACTGTCACTGCCTACCCCTTTTCCTTGTTCGTTATTTTTTGTCTTCTCTCTCTGTTCATCTTTTCTTCTGATCTTTATCTCGTTCTCTCCATCTATTCACCTCTATCTCGTTCTCTCCATCTATTCACCTCTATCTCTCATCTCTTCATCTCTTCATTTCCCCTCTCCCCTCCCCTCCCCTCCTCCTCTCCCCTCTCACTTAGCCCCCCCCCTCCTTCATCACCCTCTCCCTATCATGCCCCTCATCATCCTCCCTCCCTCCCCTATCCATTCCTATTACTATCCCTCTCTCTCCATCCCTCTCTCCCTTCCCCCCCCCCTCGCTCTCTCGCTCTCCATCCCCTTCTCTCTTTCTCCATCCGTCTCTCCCTCTCTCCCTCCCTATCCCTCTCTCCCTCTCTCCCTCCCTATCCCTCTCTCCATCTCTCCCTCCCTATCCCTCTCTATCCCTCTCTCCCTCTCTCCCTCCCTATCTCTCTCTCCCTCTCTCCCTCCCTCCCTCCCTATCCCTCTCTCCCTCTCTCCCTCCCTATCCCTCTCTCCCTCTCTCCCTCCCTCCCTCCCTATCCCTCTCTCCCTCTCTCCCTCCCTATCCCCCCCACCCACCCAGCCACAGTATTTCCCCACGGAAGTACCGGACTTCCCGTATGTTGTACAGCATAGAAGTTTTTACGGGGAAGCTTGGTTAACCCGCGCGACCTTGAGAGTGAAGCGAGCCGTCGTAGGTGATGCTGACTATAAGGCCTACGCCATACCTTAATACATTACTTCTTACATACCAAGCCCTCTGCCCTCTCTGACACAACACTGGACGCAACATCCTCAGTTTTTTTCCACCTTGTGACGTCGCTCTATTTACACGAACAGATTCTCTCTCTTCTACTTCTTAGTACGTTGCAAACCTTTGGTGATTTTATATGCAGACTTGTATAAAAAAGGATCGCCTGCAAGCGACAGGCAGACATCCTGAGCAGACAGAATCTCTGCCAGTCAGCTGTACCCTTCTCCCCATAGTAAACTGCTGCAACTGATCAAGGAGTCTCTCTGTCACTCATCGGCCTTATAATACTGATTGCAAGAAAGTCTCCGATGGTAAATATGTGTGTGTGTGTGTGTGTGTGTGTGTGTGTGTGTATGTGTGTGTGTGTGTGTGTGTGTGTGTGTGTGTGTGTGTGTGCGTGTGCGTGTGCGTGTGCGTGTGCGTGTGCGTGTGTGTGTGCGTGCGTGCGTGTGTGTGCGTGTGCGTGTGCGTGTGCATGTGTGTGTGTGTGTCTTTTGTCTTTCCTTATCGCCAGGATCTAGAATGTCGGAGATACGGGTTGCGATGATTTGTGAAAAGTTTGCAGATAACTAACAGGATATTTATGGTCCGATGATAAAGACTATTGTTGAATTGCATACTTCCCTACACCTGTTATAAGGTCTGTACTAATGCTGCCTTCTGCTGGTGTTTTCCCTCTCTCTACTTTGATCATTTCATTCTCTATGTCACTTCTCCGTCTAGTTTCTTTATTGCATACACTGGACTTTCACTGTTCCAAGTCTCCCTTTAGCTGTTTTAATACTAGTGCCTGAAATACCTGTTTCATTTCTTTATGCTAAATTTCCTTCTGCACTTTATTTATAGTTATAGCTAGTGTTGCGAATACTATAGTGTCCCTGTTTGAGTTTCTCATGGCCCTACTATTTTGCATATT